CTTCAGACTTTGAAGATAACTTATGAAGGTTGGTGGGGCAGTAAATCCTTGTTCCTAACACTAAAGTATTTTATCTTTTTACAGGTTAAAACTCGAGTGATGAAGACAGACGCGTCTGTGGTAAGTACATATTCTCCAGTTTTGGAACAGTAGAATCTCACCTATTATGAACTTTGCCTAATTTGAACAAAATTTAAGTTTGAACAAATTAAATCTATTTTAAGCCAATCGTCTAATTCGATTAACTTGTAATTTTGTTGTTTTTATTCTTTCAATTTTGCTATTTAAATCCTTTTATTATTGTTGCTTATATGCTTACCATCAAACCCATCCAATCTCAACCTAGTGTGTATATTTAAGGACAAAATATACTAACATTTTAGACATTTTCCCCAAATTAGGGATTTTAAAAACATACCTTAAGCATTAATGTAAAATATTTCATTTCTAGAAATATCTTTTGAATTAATACAATAGTGAGAATTAAATCCTTCCTATTTAATTTTTTTTTTTTTAACTGTATTTGTCCTTTTTAATTGGAAATAATGAGATTCTACTGTATTAGTTATGCCGGGGTGCAGTTTTTGAGGAGCTCATCCACATTTATTATTATTTCAGGGGTTTAAATTTAACAAAAGTCCACTAGGACAAAATTTAAAATTACTTTGACATAAACTTAGAGTTAATGAGCTTTAAGATATCAGTTAAATGTAGCCTTGCTTTGCTGGAAGCTTACTTTCTACTAACAAGCTGTCTTCAGTACTGGGAACCTTACGGTGCTAACGTCAGGTGCTGGGGTGAATCAAGGCTAGTGGCAAGTTTAACTTCAAGATTAACTTAGGATGTCTAGGTTTACTTGATACAATTAACACTTAGAGTTTTTTTTTTAGAAGTAGTGTATGTTTTTCAGACGGAGGTAAGGTTCATGTATTTTGGTACAATATAAATTGATTTTCTCGTGTATAGTTGAAGTACATATGTATTATATTCTGTTTACCATAAGTGTGAAATTTAAATGGACATGTTTGTCTTCTTTTTGGAATAACATAATAGCAAAAGTTTATTTTTTAAGTGCATATAAGATACATATATATTTCAATGCAAACTTTATTTTCAGATGAATGATAATGTACAATGTACTTTTTTATATTTTAATTATAAGGTTTGTTTGAGAATAAGGTAGGAGTATTTAGTGTACTTGTATATTGTTATTTACATTGTGTTTTACAGTCTTAATTATTGTGTGTTTTACCTTTAGTTGTGTTGGGTTGTATATATAAGGGGCGTGGGAATTTATAATACTGGCGTGAAAATTTGAGCGTACATTTAATTTTTTTTTGCACCGATAAAGAGCGTATTTATTACCGGCCCAGACCACCGTCACGATTATGGGTCACTGTTATTGTTGAGGAAGGCTTATGGTACCAGCCTAGTGTGTTGTGTTCATTGGTGTTTATGTAATTATTGAGAGGTTGAATTACGGTATGTTATTGTGTGATGTGAAGGGGTCGACATGATGTTGTTTGGGTGGATGTTTTCTGATATGATCGTGAGGATATTATAAATTCACTGTATTTTACTGGGGACATATTCTCGTACCTGTTATATTACTGTGTTCACTATGAGGTCGTGTGTCACATTGTTATATCAGGGTTGTGTCCTTATGTGTGTTGTATTTTGTAGATGTGTAGTGATATGCCAGGGTCGTGTCCCATCCCAGCAACAGTAGGGGAGGGGAGGGTAGGGGGCAACAGGCCTGGACATCCCATTGCGTGGCCTCGATAATGGACACTGTGTATTTCAATGAGGATTACTGAAGGCTTAAGTGACCCTCGTCTGTGTTAATACTGTGTTGGGACGATTCTCTCGCTCTCTCATTGTTTGTTTCACTAACCACCTGTCGTTGTTTAGTGTTTTGTTTGTTTGTTTGTCCTTGTGCATGTCTCTGTCTTTGTGTTTTTCTCTGTTTGTTTATGTCTCAGCGTTACCCCAGCTGTTTTTCTGTAATTTCTAGGGCTTTATTTACCTCATTATTATTGTAATGTTAGAACTACTCTATTGTAACCTCGTAACCTAAACACATATTAATTAATACTAGTACTTCATGCTGCTGCTGTATATACCACACACCTCAACACTCTGATAATTCTCAACATTAATGTCCAAAACATCTCAGTGTACCACATTCAACCTTCAACATCTTTCTCTGTAGTATATTGTATTAAAAATGGATGGTAGAGGGAGAGTCTAGCACTAAAGTCTCGTCACATTCACTTGGAGATAAATGTGTAGTAATAATTAAGTCTTATTTGTGTAGAATTTTATTGCTCAGTGCTGGATTGGTCAGAGGGCGGGGTCTCCGTGGACCATCCATTTTTTTTTACATTATTTATTGACCTTTTAATGTTGAGGTTTATTGATTACTATAGGGAAAGTTACATTGGCCGTTGTGAAGGTCAGGTTAAAGGTCACTTACTACATGTAGCTGCTATTCGTTCCTTGTTATAGTGTTTTGTTGTTATAGCGTTACCTTGTTATAGTGTTACCTTGTTATAGTGTTACTGAGTTAGTGTTACTGAGTTAGTGTTACCCTGTTATAGCGTTACCTTGTTATAGTGTTACTGAGTTAGTGTTACTGAGTTAGTGTTACTGAGTTAGTGTTACCCTGTTATAGCGTTACCTTGTTATAGTGTTACTGAGTTAGTGTTACCTTGTTATAGTGTTGCCTTGCTATAGCGTTACCTTGTTATAGTGTTACCTTGTTATAGTGTTACCTTGTTATAGTGTTACCTTGTTATAGTGCTACCTTGTTATAGTGCTACCTTGTTATAGTGTTACCTTGTTATAGTGTTACCTTGTTATAGTGTTACCTTGTTATAGTGTTACCTGAGTTAGTGTTACCCTGTTATAGCGTTACCTTGTTATAGTGTTACTGAGTTAGTGTTACCTTGTTATAGTGTTGCCTTGCTATAGCGTTACCTTGTTATAGTGTTACCTTGTTATAGTGTTACCTTGTTATAGTGTTACCTTGTTATAGTGCTACCTTGTTATAGTGCTACCTTGTTATAGTGTTACCTTGTTATAGTGTTACCTTGTTATAGTGTTACCTTGTTATAGTGTTACCTTGTTATAGTGCTACCTTGTTATAGTGTTACCTTGTTATAGTGCTACCTTGTTATAGTGTTACCTTGTTATAGTGTTACCTTGTTATAGTGTTACCTTGTTATAGTGTTACCTTGTTATAGTGCTACCTTGTCCCACACCTGGTTCGTAACATTTCCATTGCGTATTTACTTTTACTTCCTTTATTTATTGGAGTTTTCCTTATCTCCTTATTTCAAGTCGTCTTCTTACACCTACGTCAAGACAACAACAGTCGGGAGAAGTTGAGAGACAAGAGAATGGGAGATGAGAGAATAATTGCCACTTACGTCCTCTTCTCTCACACAATGACCTGTGACATTCAACTTAAGTGACTTGATTAAAATTGAGTCATTTGTGTGTGTCTCTCTCTCTCTGTTTCTTTTGGAGTGGGCTATTATTAAGGTCTTGTGAGATGATGTTGGTATTCTCGTCTTGTGTTTTCATGTTGTTATTGTTATTAGCAGTAGTATTGTTGTTGTTATTGTTATTAGTAGTAGTATTGTTGTTGTTATTATTATTGGTGTTATTTTAGTATTGTTATTATCTTTTGTTGTGTTTACCATTATTCAGTGCAGTCATGACCTCCTCACTCCACACAACTAGTTAACCTTGACACACCATCTCTCGTGTAGTAAATTTTGGAATTAATTAATATTATTTTACCTGATGGCGGAGCTCAAGGGTGTTTATATTCACCTACTTAATGTTTACTTCATCGTTATGTTTTTATATATAATTAAATACAACAGTGAGTTAAGTGTTTACAGTTGTTGTTTATTTTTAATTACTTATTTCACCCAAGACCGAACGTAAGGTTAAACAAATTTCATTGTTATTTTTTTTTGGTATGTTGTTATTATAAAGAAAATAATCACAGTATGTTATAATTAGGGGTCATTAAGTATTTTGTTTTTGGTCATAATTAGGGACAGTTTTCAAAGGTCATTAAGAGTATCCTAATTTGGGTAATATAGTTTGTTAAGGTTGTAATTACAGGTTGAACGAGGCCCTGCCATGAGCGAGGGCCTCCTGGTAATGTACATACACAGGGTTGGTCTGGTCCGGAGGGTATTTGAATTCCACGCCTCATCAAAATTATGCTCGAATATTTTGTTGTGGCGTTCTCCTGGCTTGTGGGTGGGTGAGTGTAGCGCGCCATAACCCTCCTCCTTCCCCGCCACCACCTCTTGTGTAGCGCGCCATACCCTCCTCCTGCCACCACCTCTTGTGTAACGCGCCATAACCCTCTCCTTCCCCGCCACCACCTCTTGTGAGCGCGCCATAACCCCTCCTCCTTCCCCCGCCACCACCTCTTGTGTAGCGCGCCATAACACCGCCTCTCTAGTCTACTGAGAATATTACACCATTTACTTTATATTTATGTCCTCGTGAGATATTTGTATATTGGGTGTTATTTTTCCGGGTGTGTTGAGGTCACGAGGTTTGCATCACCACACACACACACACACACACACACACACACACACACGGTCACAGCAGTAAACAGAAGTAGTTCTGGAATCATATTTTTTACACCTTTTTATAGTGAGATATTTTTTTAACCTTATTTCTTCAGGATTTTTTATGGTATCCTATAAAGCAATGAGGATTATTTTTGTTATTTTCTTTATCTTTCGATGTGATGTGATTCTTTTGTATACAGTGAATCCTCTGTTTAACGGACTGTATGTAGGTGAAAGTCCGTTATATCAAGGGTCCGTTAGATGTGAGAGAGAAGTCCGTTATGTAGAGGGTTTCACTGTGTACGTTAAGGGAGTTGGTGGTAGAGGTGAGGAATAAAACACGTTAACAGTTTCATACTATTTATTATAGATATTCTATAAACGTATAAAATATCTAAAATTACCAGTATGTATGTATGTATGTATGTATGTATGTATGTATGTATGTATGTATGTATGTATGTCGAGCGGTCACATGTTGCCTGTTACTCTGGTTACATATATTCTGTGAGCTGTTGGTGCCACGTTACATCGGGCCAGGTAACAACACACTGGCCGGCCTCCCTACACCGGGTCAGGTAACATCGCAACAAGAACAACATTAACTTGTGCTGTTATTGTTGTTATGATGATGCCAGTCTTCGGTGAACGTGGGGCGATGTTGTGTCAGGGTTATTGTGGTGTTGTTGTGGTGTTGTTGTGGTGGTGTTGTGGTGGTGTTGTGGTGGTGTTGTTGTGGTGGTGTTGAGGGTTATAGACAAACACATTATTGTTACTCGATGGTGATGTTTAGTCTGATTTTTCTTATATTTGTGAATGACTGAGTTAAGTTAGACTAAAGATACACATTAATTTACTCCTGTGTATTATTGGTCAGTGTCCAGCTGTTCCGGGAGACTTTGTGTATATTTGTATTCGTCACGATGATAGAGTACGTGAGGGAGGTGTGGGTGTGTGTATTCGCCTGGCGTAGTTTTCCATGATAGACAGGAAACGCCAGACGCTGTGTTTGAGTGGCGCTTATTGATTATCTTACTGGTAAAAGGTTGTGAGATACAGTACAACAGGTTGATGACACTCTCCTTTGTTTACTCTGGGTGTCAGCAAACAGTGGAGACCTCCCCTTCACTCTTGCCTAACACGACGTCTGTTTTAGAGGTTCCTTCACTCTTGTACCTGCTGGGGGAGAGGTGAGATATTCTAGTTCTGACGGTGGAGGGCTGCTTACTGGAGCCTCCGCCCTTCACCATAACTATACTAGAGGCCGTCGCTAGTGGCTCCTTGGTACAGCTAGGTGACCCGGAGCCCTTCTTCAGGTTGCTGGTGCTCTTGGTGCGGCCGAAGGTGGTCTTGTTGGCCGCCTCCGGTAGGTTCCTCAGGAGGTCCATTACCTCCAGGAACTCCGGCACCAGAGGGACGATGGTGGAGTCTTCCTCAGCCATATCCACCTTCAGGTCTGCTGTCGGAGAGTGAGGGAGAAGATGAGTACACACACACACACACACACACACACACACGTTTGTTTATGACTAAGACAAGACGCGAATGTATACACGGCGCCAGATATATAAGGTACACAGACAGACAGACAGACAGACAGACAGACAGTGACCTGATATGGTAGAGGTGAAGGAACCGGAGGAAGATCCGTCACCCTCGTAGGCGTAGGCTCTGAGGTCATCCCGGGGCAGGAGAGGGTCAGGTGCTCCCCTAGCTTCTCCTCCGGCAGTAGGGTCACTCCCCCCAGGTACCGGAGACCCTTGGTTGCTGCCGGGGCTCTTTTCTCCTGCAGGTGATGTTAATAAGACTTTATTAACTACGTCTTACCTTAACCCTATCGCCCCAGGTAGCTTTGGGATTATTGGTTAATCATCAGGTGAAATAAGCTGAGGTGTCTAATCTTCAGAGTGACCCCGATAATTAGAGTGACCCCAATAATTAAGGTGACCCCCAATAATTAAGGGTGACCCCCAATAATTAAAGTGACCCCAATAGTGGGGTGACCCCCAATAATTAAAAGGTGACCCCCAATAATTAAGGTGACCCCCAATAAAAGGTGACCCCTAATAGTGAGTGACCCCCAATAGTGGGTGACCCCCAATAAAGGTATTTAATAATTAGGTGACCCCCAATAATTAAAAGGTGACCCCCAATAAAGGTGACCCCAATAATTAAAGGTGACCCCCAATAATTAAGGTGACCCCCAATAATTAAGGTATTAATATAAAGGTGAAAATAGACTTTAGGAGGAAGGAAGGTCAAGAGAGAGAAATGTTTTGGTGTTAAGAAGCGGTACCAGGAAGACCATGCGAGTTGTTGAATAAATAACTGGGAGTAATGATGCACTCAGGCTGATGTGTTGTGTGCAGCTGACCTAGTGTTGTGTGCAGCTGATGTAGTTTTGTGTTGTGTGCAGCTGATGTAGTGTTGTGTTGTGTGCAGCTGACATAGTGTTTGTTGAGTGCAGCTGATGTAGTGTTGTGTTGCGTGTGCAGCTTCGATGTAGTGTTGTGTTGTATTACGTGACATAGTGTTTGTTGAGTGCAGCTGACAGTGTTTGTTGAGTGCAGCTGATGTAGTGTTTGTTGGAGTGCAGCTGATGTAGTGTTTGTTGGTGCAGCTGATGTAGTGTTGTGTTGTGTTGCAGCTGATGTAGTGTTGTGTTGTGTACCAGCTGACCTAGTGTTGTGTGCAGCTGATGTAGTGTTGTGTTGTGTGCAGCTGACATAGTGTTTGTTGAGTGCAGCTGATGTAGTGTTTGTTGAGTGCAGCTGATGTAGTGTTTGTTGATTGCAGATGATGTAGGGTTTGTTGAGTGCAGCTGATTTAGTGTTGTGTTGTGTGCAGCTGACATAGTGTTTGTTGAGTGCAGCTGATGTAGTGTTTGTTAATTGCAGATGATGTAGGGTTTGTTGAGTGCAGCCGATGTAGTGTTTGTTGAGTGCAGCTGATGTAGTATTGTATTAAGTGCAGCTGACATAGTGTTTTAGTGCAAGAAATTTATATTAGAATATTTGTTAGAACGTCATTGTGTGTGTGTATGTGTGTACTCAAAAGGCCAAGTCCATGTACTCAAAAGTTATCAAAAATACCTTAATCCTCAATGAACTAACATACCGTACTCAGAGACGGAGGTGAGGTGAGGAGGGGGGGGTGATTGGCGTCTTACTGATGGGGTTTTTAAGGACAATCAGAATATCTCGTTACCCGGAATTCGAAACTGATGTCGGATATGAGAGAGAGAGAGAGAGAGAGAGAGAGAGAGAGAGAGAGAGAGAGAGAGAGCCTCATCTCATGACTCGTAATGAGAATATTCTGATTGTTCCTTTCCTGTCTGGATGTTGTTGTTTTTTCCTGTGTTTTTGTTGTCGATGTTATGTGATGTTGTTTGTTTGTTTATGTTAATTTTTAGGCGAAAGAGAGAAATTGTGGTGTTAAAGGCGAGAGAAGGGGGAGGGGGAGGGAGGGGGAAGGCTACACCACCACCATAATATTTTACACAAACGCTCGCTGGTGGCTTAAGTGGTATTAAAAAGATCACACAGTTTACAAGTGTCCATAAAACACGTGTACAGCTGCATATATATACACACACACATACATACACACACACACCTACATGGCCACTAACGTTCACAGTTACACGTACACACTAATACAACAATATCTACATAGACACAGTTGCAGATAACACACACACACACACGCACACACACACACACACACACACACACACACACAGCTCTATACACCCACCTTTCTTCTTTAAGGCAGGCTGTGATGTGGGTAATTTGAACTTTAAACATTCAAGAAATGATTCGTGTGTATCGTCCTCTCCTATTTTCTTCTCTCCCTTCCCTCCTCCTCCTCCTTCATCACCCTGTACCTCCACCACCGTGTTCTTGCCTGTGTCGTCGTCAGCAGGTCGTTCTCTCAGTCCTAAGTTGGTCCTGTGGCGGTGTAGACGTATGGACACGACGAGACCCACCACTACTGTTAACGGGAGGAAGAACAGGGGGTTAGTTTTGGCTGTTTCTCTGTTAATGGGAGGAACAGAACGTGGTGATTTTTTTTGCTGTTTCTTTATCATAGTTGGCCCTGCTGTTGTTATTGTTTGCTGTTAAGGTGAAGGGAACAGCATGAGGGTGAGTTCTGCTGTGTCTCTCGTCACAGCCGGACCTATACGTTCCCCCGATGTTAAAACTATAACACGGACCAAACCTGAGTATACAATGTGGTCCATGTTGCTGGTATTAACACGAACGTTCGGTGGTTTTTGTTCTGTTCTGTTTACATCTACAGCGTCCGCACAGCTGATTGGTTGGTTATTTTTTTTGTTCTCAATTTTTATATAACACTATCCAGGAAGGTATAACTTAATCAGAATATCTAACTACTGTATGTCCTTCTGTCACTCTGTCTATCATCAGGCTGACGGCTAGTGATGTCAGCTGGTCGGTAATGAGCTTGATAATGATGGACTGGAAACTGACTAGATGCACCAACAGTGACTGGCCATTCGTTGATGGTCTAGTGAATGAAGGAACCCCCTCCCCCCCTTCCCAATCCCCCCCACCCTCCTGCCTCCTGCCTCCACACCCCCACTCCAGCCCACCCCCACTCCAGCACACCCCCTCCCTAGCACACCCCCTCCCTACTTTTTTTAACTTTTTTTTTCAGTGAGCCAGACATTTACAGGAGAGAAAAGGTTGGTTAATTGATGCCGTGTGGACCGGTAAATGTTGGGAGGAGGGGAGGGAGAGAGTGTGGGTAGGGGAAGGAAGGCACGGAGAGGAAGGGGAGGGGTAAAGGAAGGGGGGGGAGGAGAGTGAGGGAAGGGAAGCAGGAAAGAAGGGGAGGAGGAGGGGAGCAGGAAGGGGAAGGTAGGGGAGCAGGGAGGAAGGGAGTTAGGGAAGGGGGGAGGAGCGGAGGGGAGCAGGAAGGAAGAGGGTGGCCAGGGTCAGGTCAGGTCAGGTGTACGTGCTAACCAGTAAATTCAACACACACTGCTGATTGATTATTGATTAACCTGTCCAGCGGGGCCTTTGGTTACGCTGATTAATGCCCATTGATAGAGATGTGGGCTGATATTAACTGCTTGTTTGGTTAGGGTTTTTTTCATATCTGGTTTCAATGAATTTTGTAAGGGATCACATGAAGATTAAGCACCCATAACGTTAACCTAACCTAACCAAAATCGAACTGAACCTAACTTAATCCCATCCAAGTAGCGTTAGGGTGTTTTAATTTTCAGGTGAAATAAATTGGGGGAGGGTGTCTAATCTTCACGTGACTCTTTAGTAGTGTTTACAGGAGGAGGGGGCGGGGGAGGAGGATATCTTTGTGTGAGGGGGACTGTGGACACGAGCCGGGAGAGTCAGCTGGAGTCTCTAGGGAGGGAGAGAGAGAGAGAGAGAGAGAGAGAGAGAGAGAGAGAGAGAGAGAGATAGAGATAAATGAAACTTGTTAACACTATCATACTTCTAACTATTATTTTACCGGTACTTATTATCATCATTATTATACTTACTAGGGTTACTTAACGAGTACTTAGCGATACTTAACGAGTACTTAACGAGAACTTAACGAGACTTAAACACTTACAAAGGACGAGGAGAGAGACGGTGAGAGCAGCGATGGCCACGGGCGCTGTGAGAGAGTTGGTGGTGTTGGTGAGTGTGGCCCATTGGCAGTGGTCGCCTGTATGGCCCGGGCCACACATACACATATACCCTGGCCGCAGGTTGTGACAGGTGCCGCCATGGAGACAAGGGCGCCACACACACTCGTCCACATCCTCACAGTTGCGGTCCACCAGCTGGCGGCCCGGTCCACAGCTGCCGGGACACAGGGAAGGGGAACGGTGACCTGATGAACTGACCTGACATGACCTTATTCTCCTATGACCTCAGGGTTAGTATGATTCATGACAAAGTATCCAAGTGACCTAATGTGACCCCTTATTATGACACTTGACACTGACCTACAGGTGGCTTAACCCTACGTGACCTTTGACACTGACCTACAGGTGGGTTGGCCCCAGGTGGTGTTGCAGGAGAGGGGTGGGGTACAGGTGATGTTGACGCAGGCATCAGGGGCGTCACAGCCTCGCTCCAGGTGCTGTAAGGTGGTTACCTGGCCCCAGCTGGTGCCGTTGATGGCAGGTGGCAGCGGCAGATGGCGACCCGAAACCCGCAGGTCATCCACACACGCTATCGAGAAGACAGATGGTGAGGATGCTGTCATTAGTGAACCAGCTGCCATTAGTGAACCAGCTGTCATTACTAAGGAGGCAGATGCTATATTAGAGCAGCTGGTATAGTAATATAGATACTTAATATAATATGTAAACATACTTAACACAGCCACTTAACTGTACAATGTAAACACGCTTAACTCAGACACTTAAGTGTATGTAAACGCACTTAACCCAGCCACTTAAGTGTTAACATTACTCAACAACACCACACTTAAGGCTGCTCTTCTATCAGGGTTGTGGACGAGTTAAAATATCTCCTGAGTTAAGGAAAATTTACCAGAGTGAATAATGTATTAAAGTTGAGGAGGAGGAAGAGAAGAAGAGGAGGAGGAGAGGAAGGAGGAGGAGGAGGAGGTTAATCTTTCAAGTAGTGAGATATTTTAGCGCTAAAGAAAATATTTTATGACGTTATAATAATGTTAACTTGAACATAAAGAATATATTGGTAAAACACACACACACACACACACACACACTCTCACACACACACACACACACACACACACACACACACACACACACACACACACACACACACACACACACTACCCACACATCAGTCAGGTCATCCCGCACCCCCACCAGTCTGACACCGACGAACTCCGGCAGTCCGCCTACTGTGACGCCGTCGTGTTTGTCCACGTTGAGGGGCGTGGGTGCCTCTCTCCCATGCCCACGCCTCTCCCGCACCACCAGGAAGGACGCCAAGGATTCGTTTCGTCTCCAGCCGTCACCATCATCCACAGAAACGACCAAGTTGTCTCCATGTCGTTCCGCCCTGACAGTGTGCCAGGACCCGTCGCCTAGTGGCCGCCCCTCTACACACGCCACCCGCGCCGCCCATTCCGACCCCGTCAGCGAGGCACAGGCCACGCTTGATCGTAGCTGTGGGTGGGGAATGAGCCGTGGTGTTATGGGTGGTTGGTAGGTGGGGTGTGGGTGGGTGGGAGGTAGGTGGGTGTGGGGTGGGTGGCGGGTGGTGGGAGGTAGGGGGTGGGGTGGGTGGGAGGTAGGGGTGGGGTGGTGGGAGGTAGGTGGGTGTGGGTGGGTGGGAGGTAGGTGGGTGGTGGGTGGGAGGTGTGGGTGTGTGGGTGGGTGGGAAGCAGGTGGGGTGTGGGTGGCGGGTGGGTGGGAGGCATAAGTCAAGATGGTTAAGATGGGTGAGAAATTTGGGCAAAATATGAGGATGGAAAATTATTCTCACTTTATTATCATGATGAAACAAAAAGAGAGAGAGAAAGAGAGAGAGAGAGAGAGAGAGAGAGAGACTCACGTGTAGAGTGAAGGCAGCCGAGTGGTGATGAGCCGCCAGGTGTAACAAGAGACCGTGTCGTGCCCCTCTTGTCCTTAGCCTCACCTGTACTCTCAACACCCTGGGAGCTGGCGTGAACGACAGCGCCACCTTCATGTACGACGCCTTACCCAGAGCAGCGGGTACTGTGGGCGTGTTGCACCCACTCCCCGTCCAGCCGGGTTCACACTCACACTCGGGACGTCTGAGGCCGCCTACACACTCTCCACGGACGCTGCACCCACCAAGGCCACCCGGACAAGCTGACTCCTGCGGCAGACACCCCGGGCTGCTCTCCCTGCTGTAGGCCGGCTCACCCAGGTCCACCAGCTGCAAAGACGCTGCAGGACAGTTATGTGATGCACCGTCTGCCCCGTCCACTGCTACAACATTGTCTGTCTGTCTGTCGGAAGTAATAATATACCTCATTCTCTCCCGTAAGATAACATCACAGTCTACCCTGCCAAGAGTTACAGCAGATCCCAGTCTGTAGAATGTAACCACAGTCTATCACGTCAGGCGTTAAGGCACATTACAGTCAGTCTTGCGTGTGGAGTTGTAACTTAAGGAACGTTCCCGCTTGATGATATATAAAACATCATGTGTCCGGTGTAAGGCTGATCAATCATGACTCGTCTCACCTAAAACTGCGGTGAATCTTTGTTCGTCCCGGAGTCACAATACGTCACGAACCGTCCCTGTCTCGTGGTGGAGTAAATTGCTGTGTTTCACCCACAGATTATTGGACAAGTCTCTTCTAAAAGTCACAGCGATAAAACACAAACTTTTCCGTCAACATCGTAACAATTATTCATATCTTTTGGCTTAGGGATTCCTCTTGATGTATGTATTGCGTCATTGATTTATGTATTGCGTCATTGATTTATGTATTGCGTCATTGATTTATGTATTACGTCATTGATTTATGTATTGCGTCATTGATTTATGTATTGCGTCATTGATTTATGTATTACTTCATGAGCTGGAATACCTCTGTACAGGTGACATCACTCTTGTGCCTCTGGTGGTAAAAACTTTATGCACAACCACGATCAAAAGTTTCTGTACATACCTGTAACTCCGAAATGTTGGAATGTGTTTGGTGATTGCTTGAGTCTGGCTGAAACATCTCACTAGTTGGGTTTTAGAACGAGGATGTCAAGTGACTTTTATATGTGGGAATAACTTTTGCTCGACGGACACAGATACTGACCTTTTAGTTGTTGTTGAAGGCGTCTTGTGTCTCCCATCACCTGGCGTATAATAGAGGTGTGCGCTGTGTTGGTTTATGAGGAACACACACACACACACACACACACACACGTTATGTTGTTGATGGTGGGGTCTGATTCTCTTGAGGCTTTTGAGAGGGTGAAGGATTATAGGTACAGGTGGGTAGGGTGGTGGGTGGTGGGTTGGTAGGTGAGTGGGTTGGTGGGTGGGTTGGTTGGTGGGTTGGTTGGTTGGTTGGTTGGTTGGCTGCTGTCCATAAGTTGGTTAATTAATACAAACAAGACCAAGGTAGTGCCATAGATCTCACCTGACCATTGAGAGTGAGGTGTGAGATGCAGCCGTGGAGTGGGCGGGCTGTGGGTGCTTCTTCCCATTCGTGGTCGTGGGCGGTGGGCGGCGTATGGGCTAACCCACCCACTTGTAGCGGTCCAGATCCTAGCCAACCTTCTAACCCCCATGGGATGGTCCACGCCGCCCGCGCTAAGCAATGGGCGTCATCGTGGGAGTGGTGTTTCTCCCACCCGCGCCCACACAGGTCTACCATGAGTGCCACACCCTATATAAACAAACCAACACATGGTATCAGTCTCAAGACCTCCCGCAGGATACTACCAGTTAACAAAGTACCGAGACAGAAATGTGTTTAGGTTATAGTCACTCAGGTAACCAAGATGGTCGCCCTTATACCTCTAGACAGGTGAGAAAACTAAAGAGAGATCCTACCATATACGCGACACAGGTAAGGAGTGTTTACCTGGGCGTCGAGGTGAACGTGGAGAGTGTGCCAGTCACCATCATGTACCGTCGTGTTGACCTCCAGCTTCAAGGGGACGAGACCGCCCTCGAATAGAAGCTGTGGGCGGCCAAATTTCAACTGCAGGGCAAGCATGGGCGTGGGCATAGGAGGGGAGACGGCGGGGCGTTGTTGAGGGGCGAGAGGACCCGAGTAGAGGATAAGAGCGTTGGGGTGTCGCGTGAGGAGGCGGAGGGAGATGGTGGTGGGGAGGCACGGGGGTAGGGGGCGGACCCAGGCCCACCCCGAGCCAGTGAAGGTGCGGGCCAGGACCTTACACTGCCAGCCCTTAGAGCCCCCGGGGCATATACACCTGTGGGGAGATACAGGTACGTTAGCAACACTACACACACACACACACACACACACACACACACACACACACACATTTATAAACACAGACACATGCATAACAGACTGACATCTTACCTGTTGCCATCAGAGGATCTCACACACCGGCCACCGTTGAGGCAGGAGGTGGGCGTGCACGTCTCCGGCTCGTGGGCGTGACAGGCGTGGGCGCGGGTGAGTCGTGGGGTGACCAGCGAGGTGGCGTTTGTATCCACAACCTAGTGAGGGCGAGAGGCCAGTGAATACCTCCAGGTAGAGACGATAATTACCTCCAGGTGTTAACGAAAAAGTCAGTAACGTGGGACACTTCTATTTGGCGCAGCAGGTGTAGAGGTGTAGGTAGGCGTAATAGTGTGTAAGACGAGGGTATAGTGGGTGTAATGGCGCGTGTGATGGTCCTCCACACCCTCACCTTCTCTCTCACCTTTACCCTTCCCCCAACCCACACCTTCCCTCCCATGTCCACACCTTCCTTCCACTCCCCACACCTTCCCTCCCACGCCCACACCTTCCTTCCCACGCCCACACCTTCCCCCCACTCCCCACACCTTCCCTCCCATGTCCACACCCAACCTCCCACTCCCACACCTTCCCTCCCACTCCCACACCTTCCCTCCCACTCCCACACCTTCCTCCCACGTCTACACCTTCTCCCTCCCACGTCCACACCTTCCTCCCACGCCCACACCTTCCCTCCCACGCCTACACCTTCCCTCCCACTCCCACAACTTCCTCCCCACTCCCACACCTTCCCTCCCACGCCCACACCTTCCCTCCCACGCCCACCCCTTCCGTCCCACTCCCACACCTCTCCCGTGCCCACACACCTTTCTCCCACGCCCACACCTTCCCTCCCACGCTCACACCTTTCCTCCCACGCCCACACCTTCCCACCCACGCCCACACCTTCCCACCCACGCCCACACCTTCCCTCCCACGCCCACACCTTCCCTCCCACGCCCACACCTTACCTGTAGAGGGAGCGCTGTGGAGGCGAGGGAGGCGGCGGAGGAGGGGTCGCCGTCGTCACCGTTCTGGAGGTCGAGGCGGAGGTCAGGACTGTGTATCTCCTCCAGGCGGCGCCCCACGACCCCTGATGACTCCAGCAGTACCTTCAGGTTGGTCGACTCCTCTAGCTGTAGTGAGAGCAAGTGTGCGTGCGCGAGAGTGTTGGTTGAACATAACACACACACACACACACACACACTCAAATGAACCAGTAACTGTATAATACACTTCATTTTATTTACAGGGAAATTAAAATTACTGTAGGTGGTGAAGGTGTAGGTGTAGGTGAAGGTGTAGGTGAAGGTGTAGGTGAAGGTGTAGGTGTAGGCTTGGGTGTAAGTGGTGTAGGTGAAGGTGTAGATGACACTCACCTGGTGGGAGTGGAGGCCCAGTAGCCCCTGAAGCTTGACGGGGTCCATGAACTTCCCTCTGTCTCTTGGATGACCCACACACAGGCTGACGGAGGCGGCAGCGGCTCAGCAGCAACACGCAACAGCTTCTGCTCCTCCTCCTCGTGCAGCGTGATGGTGGGCGTGGAGAAACTGGTAGTGTGGGCGTGGGGGGCGTGGTAGTGGGTGGCGCGGTGACCATACACACTGACCACCTCGACAGTGTGGCCACCACCACCACCTTCAGTACCCCATCCACCAGCCGTCCCAGCCCGCCTCCCCCCTGTGGGTTAGGTTAGGTTAGGTTAGGTCAGGTTAGGTTAGGTGAGACAAGACCTGTGTAAAGCAGCGTAAAACATCACTACAATCGTCATCCCCAACTTTTATACAGAACCCACACGAGTTATTACCTAAAGTGAACAAATACCCCCCAAAAAACCCAGTCATTTGTTGAAGTGTTTACAGAGGCTGTCGTTGGGTAGTTACCGTGAAAATAAACACACGACTCTGACAAAGAAATAACTAGACATACATACAGTTCAGTGCACAAAGTAAACAGAGATTATATGTAACTTGTAAAAATATATATCAGTTATTAGATGTGTGTGTTAGTCCACTTTATACTAACACATAGTTTTTATAATTGATCTGTGATAATAATTAGGAGACACCAAATTCATGAGATATAGATGAATATTAACACTTGACCTCCAGTAGTATTTAACAGTATGTATGTATGTATGTATGTATGTATGTATGTATGTATGTATGTATGTATGTATGTATGTATGTATGTATGCATGTTCATGACTGGAGACGTGAATTATTAAAGAAGTTGTATATTAAAACATTAACATCAGTTTGCGAGTGTAAGCGACCCAACTATGTCAACAAACACGGGGTGGAGACATCATGAGGAGCGTTAATCAAGGATATATATATAAAGGAGCATTATTTGTATGACTTAAACGCGTAATGATATATATAGTTCTTATATTATCTTTCATTACCATCAATATCAAGAGCAACTCAGTACTAGAGAGAGAGAGAGAGAGAGAGAGAGAGAGAGAGAGAGAGGGGGGGCACCAAAATGAAGTTAAGGTTTAAAGTAACAAAACCATACTGTATATTTTCAATGAATTTTAATGAAGTTTATACAACTCCTCGACCACCGCCCGGCCCTTTCATGACTTGGTGATGGGTGTATAATGTATACGTCTTAACCCCTGCCCTGCCCGCCCTGCCCCCTGCCCGCCCCGCTGCCAGCTGAGTTTGAGAAAGATTGTCTCCTCTCATATACCCAAACTCTCCTCCCAATGTTTTTTTAATTTCTTGTGTTTTTCCCATATTAACATTACTAACTTGATTTAAATGGGATGGGATGGGTGGATGGGATGGGATGGGATGGGATGGGTGGGATGGGATGGGATGGGATGATGGGATGGGATGGGATGGGATGGGAAATATTGACGTAAGAACCAAGGATAAATTATGAGTGTAAACTAATGTCGTTTGATGCCTTACCATGGGTGTCCAGCCTCTGGTTAGGTCTGTGGGCGTGGTGGGCGTGAGGGTGATGGGGGCGGCGTGGGAGAGGGCGTCTTGTGTCAGCATCTCCGCTACCGTCACGTTGGCTGACACTCCTCGCTGACGCCACACTCGGTCACTTACGCTGAAGTGTAACTCATACCTGGCCAAGCAAGTGAAGTTGGGGGTTAGGTGTGTGTGTGTGTGTGTGTGTGTGTGTGTGTGTGTGTGTGTGTGTGTGTGTGTGTGTGTGTGTGTGTGTGTGTGTGTGTGTGTGTGTGTGTGTGTGTGTCATAACAGGTACAAAAATTCACCTGAATTTTTGTACCTATTAATGGCATGACAGTTTTTTTTTACACATACGTATTATGAACGTCTTCTTCACACACACACACACACACACACACACACACACACACACACACACTATGATCTCTTGAGCCCCAGTACTCATAAGACAACTTAAAGTTTACTACCGAGTTAATTACTAAGCACACTTCTTACCTCCCAGACGTGTTTTTTACACCAACTATTCCTGTCGTCAATACTGCGTCGCCACCTTGCTGTCTGTTGTTTTGTCAGTTTTAGTCTTTGTCTGTATGTGTCATTTTGTCTTAGTGTGTGTGTGTGTCTGTCTGCCATAGTTTGTTTTAATGTATACAGTCAGTGTATATATATGTAGACAATATACATAGACGGTCGAGGTATTTAAACAATGATAAACAATAAGTTGATTTAACCTACCTCAGTAGCGCCTAACTTAATCCAGGTAAAGTTTGGTAATTATAAGTTTAATTTCTGCTCAACCTGTGATAACATTCACTACCGCTCGTTTCTCTCTTACCTGTGGGACGCAATTACCTGTGTGACGCATTTACCTGGGGAACGCATTTACCTGTGTGACGCATTTACCTGTAGGACGCATTATACCTCCCTGATATTTACTACAAAGGTCACTGATGCTGTCATATTAATGTGAGCCCTTGAGTTGCACCTTATGTGAGCCCTTGAGTTGCACTTATGTGAGCCCTTGAGTTGCACCTTATGTGAGCCATTGAGTTGCACCTTATGTGAGCCATTGAGTTGCACCTTATGTGAGCCATTGAGTTGCACCTTATGTGAGCCCCAGGTTGCACCTTATGTGAGCCCTTGAGTTGCACCTTATGTGAGCCATTGAGTTGCACCTTATGTGAGCCATTGAGTTGCACCTTATGTGAGCCCTTGAGTTGCACCTTATGTGAGCCATTGAGTTACACCTTACTTAGAGAGAGCAATTGGGTGTATTTCTAGTGATTCACAGATTAGACGAGTCGCAGAAAATACCCAATCAGTTTAACTCAGTGTGTGATTGTAAATAAGAATTCCAGGTTAATTGTTTGGGAGTTTTGTCGTCATATAAATCTTAAATTGTCTCGGTTCGCGTGATCTTAGCGGCTTATTATGTTTTCTCACGAGGACTAAGTAATTCTCGTGGTATTTGATGTCTATCTGAAACACAAAAGTCAACTTAACCTCTCAAGTCAGGTGGATATATGTAAGAATATGCAGATCCTTCATCGTGATTGGTTGGTTGACTCTGTGCTGTGTGATGTATTTGGTTCGTAATTGGTTGTCTGATATGATGACTTAATAAGGTTTAGTCTGGGGGTGATTGATTGGTCATGCAGTGAGGGTATGGAGTCTGTTTTGACTGTGATTGGTTGTTTGATATAGTGACGCAATATGATCTCACTCCGTCGTGATTGGTTGTCTGGCATAGTGACGCAGTATATCATATTCTGTTATGATTGGTTACCCGGTACCGTGACGTAATATGATAAACTCTGTTGTAATTGGTTGCAATGTTAGCGATGATGTTGACGATGAATTTGACGACAATGACGACCAAACCGACGACCTGTTTGTGCTTCGTCAGGTATAGGTAAAGTCAGGTCGGCAGGTGGTGTTGGTCGGCAGGTGGTGCAGGTCGGCAGGTGGTGTTGGTCGGCAGGTGGTGTTGGTCGGCAGGTGGTGCAGGTCGGCCCACAGCTGGTAATAAATGCATCAGAGCAACAGTATATATTATTCACAGCTGGTGTTGAGTATACGACCTCGAGCAGAGTACGACCCTCAGTAGTATAGATGGACGACTCTCGCTTTATGGTTTATTGTCTTCCTTGTTTACCACCTGCCTCTTGTTTTCCTTCCTTCCTTCCTTCCTTCCTTCCTTCATCTTTTCTCTCTTGTTGTTGTTATTCTTCTTGTTCTTCTCCTTCTCCTTGCAGTAATTACTAAGGCACAATATATCAGATCTTTAACACAGTCTTACACACACACCTTAAGATTTCCTCTACACAAACTTACTAACATAAAAACATCCTCAAAAGTAAGTATTTCCATCAGTGTTCAGGAGTAGAAATGAGAGGAGGAATTGAGTGTGGGGTGATGAGAGAATGGATGGCGGTGGTGAGAGGAAAAAGGGGATGGTAGTGAGAGGAGAGTGAGTGGAGTGGTTGTGAGAATTGGAAGATAGAGGAAAGGAGGGGGGATGGTGGTGAGAGGGAGAAAAAGGGGATGGTAGTGAGAGGGGTGGAAGAGATAGAGGAAAGGAGGGAGGATGGTAGTGAGAGGGAGGGAGTGAGTGGAGTGGTTGTGAGAGGGGTGGAAGAGATTAACAGATGAGATACCTAACCTAACCTAACCTAACCTCACCACCAAGACAACAATGGTCTAGTGTTGTCCTCTGTACCAGGTGGTCGATGCTGAGGAATGTTGGGTTGTGTCTTGGTCGAGCCAGGGTGGGTTGTGTCTGTCTGTCTGCCTGCCTGTCTATCTCTGGATCTGTCTGTCTGTCTGTCTCTGGATCTGTCTATATGTGTTTCTGTCTTTGTAACATTTTCTGTCATTTACCTTTTCCTGTCTATCTTACCCTCTATTTCTCTCGTCCCTCCTCTCTTACTATCTCTGTCTGTCTGTCTGTCTGTCTGTCTCTGTCTCTCACGTAGGCCCCTCAGGACCCAGAAAGAGTTCTGGGGTGCAGAGGCTTCTGACCTGATACACTGTCTGAAGAATTATTCTGGTCACCACCACAGCTGTGTATTTTGATGTGATTGGCTGGCGATGGTGTGTGTGGTGTGTGTGTGTGTGTGTGTGTGTGTGTCTGTGTGTGTGTGTGTTTTGTGTGTGTGTGTGTGTGTGTGTGTGTGTGTGTGTGTGTTTTCTGTCAGTATACTGAGCTTGTGGTGGCGTGTGGTTGTGTGGCTGTAAGTGTCCGCCTTTCTCTATGTGTGTGTGGCTGTGTGCGTGCATTTGTGTGTATATTTAAGCTGGTGAGTAGAGACGTGTACTAGTAAATATGTATTTATGTGGTTGTGAGAACGTGCTTGTGTGTGTGTGTGTGTGTGTGTGTACTTGCTCTTTATAATAACCACTTCAAATGATGATAGACTGAGGCCAATATCCTTTCACTAATCCACCAAATTATGTATGACATTTCAAACACAGTAAACGGCTACACCACCACAACAGCGTCCAGGCTTATTATATTAACACTCTGTATAACTCATCTGTTCACACACACAGTCACACACCTGTATTAAAGTATAACTCATATAGACGCCATCATCACGTCATCATCATATCTCCAGTTCAGAATTACAGCTCAGAATTTAATATCACATAATGTAAATAATTCCCAGCGAGAGATAGAACCCATTACAGCATTTTTTTTAGGGAAGGAAGGACTTTAAAATTAATTCTAGTTTTATGAAAAGTTAGATGCTGATAATTTTTTTTTTATTATTATTATTGAAGCTTGATGAGATGTAAGAGAGGTGGGTCACATTAAGGGGGTTATGGGGGAGGGGGTGTCTTTATTACGAGGGAGTCGATTAATGAACTTTTATCCGGTGTTCGTGAGTAAACTTTAATTTTCTTCTTGTGTTCTTCTTGTTCTTCCTATTGTAGCACACACACACACACACACACACACACACACACACACACACACAGGTAGAGAGAGGTGAGAAGAAGCAACAGGTTAATTAAATGCTCCACATACCTTCCTTTCCTGACCACATCCCTTCCTTCCCTGACCACATACCTTCCCTCCCTGACCACATACCTTCCTTCCCTGACTACATCCCTTCCCTGACCACATCCCTTCCTTTCCTGACCACATACCTTCCTTCCCTGACCACATCCCTTCCCTGACCACATCCCTTCCCTGACCACATCCCTTCCCTGACCACATCCCTTCCTTTCCTGACCACAT